AATGAACATGGGCCAACAAACTGGGGGGGCGGTCAGGAAGGCCAACCATACCTTGTCGTGCATCCACAGATGCATCTCAAGCAGGTCCTAGGAGGTGATCCTCCCCTTCTATGCGACACTGGTCAGGCCGCAGCTGGAGTACTGTGTCCAGTTCTGGGCACGGCACTTCAGGAGGGATGTGGCCAATATGGAGAGGGTCCAAAGGAGGGCCACCCGCATGATCAGAGGGCAGCAGGGCAGGCCCTACAAGGAGAGGCTGAGGGACCTGCACCTGTTCAGCCCCCAAAAGAGAAGGCTGAGAGGGGATCTCGTGGCAGTCTACAAACTAGTCAAGGGGGACCAGCAGGCATTGGGAGAGTCCCTGTTCCCCCGAGCACTCCCGGGAGTTACAAGAAACAACAGACACAAGCTAGCGGAGGGTAGTTTCAGTCTAGACATTAGGAGGCGTTATTTCACTGTCAGGGTGGCTAGGACCTGGAACCAACTTCCAAAAGAAGTGGTGCTGGCTCCTACCCTGGGGGTCTTTAAAAAAAGGCTGGACGAACATCTGGCCGGGGTCGTTTGACCCCAGTACTCTTTCCTGCCATGGCAGGGGGTCGGACTAGATGATCTCCTCAGGTCCCTTCTGACCCTACCAACTATGAAACTATGACCTATAGGGATCTAAATGGTCTGTGCCCTATGTGTCTAAGAGACTACCTTCTCCCTTATGCCCCCATTGGAACCCCTAAAATCAGCCAAGAGCAACCTCCTGCAAGTACCATCAATATGCCAATTTGCTTTTTAGCTTTGGAACTCCCTCTTCGGGCCCACCAGAGCCCAGCCTAGATGTCTTACAGTGCTTCCAAAAGATCTTTCTATCTGGGCAGTTTTGCATGCAAGATGTGATATTGCTTGGGAGGTCTTTCTTATGTTGATATTCTAGTTCCTATTTATTTTATTGTTCTCCTGTTTTGTAAGTATTCTGCTTTTATTATTGTAAGCAATGCTGAGCCTTTTTGGGTAGGATGGCATATACACTGGGGGGGGGAGGGGTAGGGTTAGGGTCAATCAATAAAATTAGAGATAATATAAAGCCCTGAATCATGCAGGTTTAGCCTGCATAGTGCTTATTCAAAGGAGAAGACACAGTAAGATAAACTGGACTGTGCACATGAGTAAAGACTGCAGGACCAGTTCATATCTGCAAAGGTTCAAGAGCAAGTAAACAGTAGATCTGCAATCGAAAAGTATATAACTGCAAAGCAATAACATCTGGTTTGTTCTCCCTTACTTAAGAGCACAGGCAAACTTTAATCTTCCAAACCAAGGAGGAGCAACTTATAGCCACTTATGCAACCACACCAGTTTTCTGATTTCAGTTACAAGAATTTTAAAACCACTTTCAAATGCATTAGCTAATAAGGCAGTGTACATTTAGCATGCATTACACTGACTGAATGAATCTCATATTAAAAGCACTGTGCCTTGTTTATGCAAGACACATGCACCTGCTAACACCTTCCTAAATCTAGTTCAAAAGGTGTTTCAGAGATAAACAAGTAGATTAGCAACATGCTATAAAAACGTAATTAATTGGAATGAAAGGCAAATACATGATAATGAAAAGCAAAGACTATGGTAGAGTAGCATGCCTGTAATGCAGGGAAATGCTGTTTTGATTATTTGAAAGAACTCAGTTTTTATAAGAGGAGCAGGAAATACTACTGATGAATTTCTACAGACTACCGCACTGAAAACCAGACAACAAAACTATGAAAAGAGAAATACTTACCCCCTTCAGAGATTCATATCTATGGGACCTGGGTTTCTTGATTCCATTTCTGTGCCATTTCCGGGCTGTTGGAAATATTCAGAGATTAAAGACAAATTACTATAAATTATTAATGTCAGAACAATACTGTTCACCACCTCTCCTACTGAAATAAAATTAAATACAATATTTTAAAAAATTGTCTTAATTTTTTTTTTAATTCAACAAATATGTTAAATCATGCCAGTACTCTAGTTTTTTGCCGATGCATTACATGCTTTTTGTAGATTCAGGAATTTCAGACCTACCATCAACCTTCCCTCCCCTTTCTTACTGCCTTTACTAACAAGCCTTTTGATCAGCTCTTCATTTCAACTGTTAATTTTATGCACATGGATAGCAATTTGTTAGTGAAACATAAACACTGCTGGTTTAATAATCTGTTACAAAGATATAATAACATTAAACTAACCAAAAAAATGAAACCGTTTTAGATATGTTAAAGATGAATACTTACATTATTATAAGTATTGCATTGTTATGATTATAAATTAACTTTTTATTTTCAGATTCAATTTTTTCCTGAGATAAGTTTCATAGTTAGTAGGGTCCGAAGGGACCTGAGCAGATCATCAAGTCCGACCCCCTGCCACAGGCAGGAAAGAATGCTGGGGTCAGACGACCCTGGCAAGGTGGCTATCTAGCCTCCTCTTAAAGACCCCCAGGGTAGGAGCGAGGACGACTTCTGCTCGTGATGCATCTGTGGATGCATGACAAGGTGCTGTTAGCTTTTCTGACTGCACCCCTACATTGGCGGCCCATGTTCATCTTTGAGTCAATAATGATTCCAAGATCAATAATGACTCCAAGATGACCCACCACTACAATGATGAAGCAGATGATTATGTGGCATCCTTAAAGGCCAAAGTGAAGTTATTATCTCTGCTACCCTGAAGTCATCTGTTGCCACCACAATGAAGTAGATGACCTTGTGCAGCACCCTACTGAACCATACTAGGTGGCACTTTAGGGGGCCATGCACAGTCATCTCATGTGTATATTAATACCACATTAGTACGATTATGGAAGTCAACCCTCTGCTCATGAGAAGTGAATTTTATCCTTTTTTGAGGTATAAAATGTTGGTATAATCAATGCAGTAAACAAAAGGGTATACTAACATTTTTATTCAGTGGCATAACTACCTATCTGAAGTCAACTTTTTGAAATGCATAAATTCTTTCTATGCAATGATAAACATCTCTTTAAATATTTATATTTCACTTTTGAACAATTATCTATTTTCATTAATGTATTCCACTCAATTGCTGGCTTAACCTCTCTTTAGGTATTTAGGTATTAACCTCTTTAGGTATTAAGGTATTATTTAGGTATTAACCTCTTTAGGTATTTTAGGTCACAGCAAAGGAAGAGAATATTGTTAAATTTAAAATAATCCACCCATTTTCTTCTGAAAGAAAATAAGCGCTAGCAGAATATACCTGGAATTATTCTCAGAACATTACCTGTCAAAACATTTACCAAGTATGTAACAAAAATTATCAGTAGCAACCCCTGCCCTCCGCCCCTTTCAGTCTGGAAAACTAAATTTCCTTCTGCTAGTTCCAGAGCAGCAACGCTGAAAACACAAGTCAACTGTCGCAGCCCCCCACCACCCAAACATGGGCTTTTAGCCATGTAGGTCTGGGGTGAGGAGTAGAACCCAACTCACACTGGTTGTGGGTCGTGTGATTCTTGGACTTCGCCATGATTACACCTGCGATTAGAAAAAGAAACCTTCAGACCCGAGGAAGTGCTCAAAGACCAGGCGGGGGAACAAGGGAGAAGGGACCAGGCCACTTCTCACTCTAGTCCTAGGGGCTCTGCCCTGCTTCCAAGAAGCGAGCACCCACATGTCCAGCCCACCCCGTCCCATGGCCCCAGCCTACTCCCTGCACCCCCAGCAGCCACCGCCTCCCGTCGCTACTTCGTGCTGCCCCTC